AAAAAAAAAAAAAAATGGTTCGTGTGGGAATCGAACACACAACCTCCAGATTTGCTATCATTATCCACCATCAACTAAACTGCCTTAAAAAAATTTAAAAAAAATTAACTGGCTCGTGTGGGAATCGAACCCACGACCTTAAAAAACAATTTAAAAATAAAAATAAATTTAAAAAATTAAAAAAAAAATTTGCCCCGTGTGGGAATCGAACCCACGATCGCCGAGTTATATTACTCCTGATCCAGCATGACTAAACGGAGGGAGGTAAACCGCGGCCCCTAAACCATAAATGCGATAAACCTAGTACCACACCAAGTACCAGTTAGTCAACTCTTATCCTACTAGAAAAAAATTCTTTGTATATATACACTACAGGTTAATATTACGCATGGTCATGGTGTCAAAAAAAATGGGCCGTGGGCCAAGAGGGTTTTTTTTTTTGTCTAAAAATGTATAATTAAATTTATAATCGATTTATGATTGTTACCATCTCCATAACTTACACACTTTTTTTTAAATAGACAAAAATGTTGGAAAAATTCATTATGCAAATTAGACAAAATAGACCAATCATGTTACGGGATTAAAAGTATTGTACTCGTTGATGACGTCGCGAATTGCGAAATAACAACAAACAACAACCGTTCATGTCCCAGCCTGGGAACCAGTCAATTCGAGCGGATGCCACTTAGAGCAAAGGCCAATTCGAGCGAATTCGAGCGGATTTTTTTTTCGAGCGGATGCTAGTTCGAGTGGAAGAAGATCCACTTCTGCGAACAACACCCTGTGCGGGTTATATACGAATTACTTTAAAAATTCTATTTTTGAGCTAACAATTTTCTCAAGCTTTGCCTGGGAGATGAAAAGCCCCAGTCGGTTCAGGAAAGACGCCTATAGCCTTATGTATAGCAAGTCGTATTTAATGGATTTTTAGGTTAACAAATAATAAAGTTCTATTTGTTCTGAATGTATATGGTAAGTGAATCCTATTGGGAATAGGTTTCCTTTATAGCCTGCCATCTCTATCTTAGAGTAAATAAATAAATAAACAAACAAACATACCCACTTTCATAAAAATAATTATATATCTTAAATTATACTAACTTAGTCAATGTTATCCTTTCCACAAGTTAAAAAAAACAACGGTGGGTTTTGAACTTAAAAAAAAAAATTGGTATGATGTCATTATTACTGGACTGTTGATACTTGTCACAGGGGCGGATCCAAAATTGTTCAATAGGAGAGGGGGCACACAACAGTTCCAGAATAGATAAATGAGTAGCACATAACATTAATATCCATTGACATTTTTTAAATAGTGGCAAAACCGCCCCTGTCTCAGTCTCACACTACTACACCATTCATTTGTGCACCTTCTGATACACCACATACGTAAAAATAATTTAAAATCCTATGGTGATTAACAATTACACAATTAAAGTTGCTCCCATTTACATCGTAAATCTACAAATACAATTACAAAATTATATAATTCAATTACAAATATAGTTTGCTTTTTTTTAAATACAAAATCCCAATCAGTGGCGGATCTGGGGGGGGGGTGGTGAATAGTGTGGCTAGCCACCCCCTTTGTTTACCGTGAAAAAAAATAATGGTCACTCCTCTTGTGTGTGTGCTTCACGTGCACTCTAGTAAAACATGCACTTTCTTTTTTAAGCATTTCAATTTTTTGCTTGAAGTTTTCTCAGGGCATTGCCGATTTAATCACCAAATTGGGGGACTTCGCTAATGTTGGTTAAACCATTTTCTCCATGGTTGAACTATTATTGTCTACGTTTTTAAACACTTCAGATCATCATAACATCATGAATATATTTTAGATTCAATTCACTGCAAGTAGGTCGATGACTGTTCTATTGTTGAATGGTAAATGTTATTTTCGTGACGAAAGACAATACTTGGATTTGCGTCAGGAGAATCAATTAGGGGGGCTATATGTATTTTGCCCAACCTGTCGTGAAAATATATTGAATACTCAGTGCGTGATTCAATATACATTTTAAAATCACATTTCTAAAGCAATAAAATATCGTTACGCACGTTTGTATTTGTGGTATCACTGTGTCCCACTATAGCTAATTTGGCAACCACTGGACACAATGAAAAAGTATAGGATTATCTTGGAAAATATTAAACAAGATATTTATAGTTTATCACGGTGTCCCACTGTAGCCAATGTAGGGCACTGAAAAAATTGTTGGATCATCACCCCCCGCGTGAAAAATTCGGGAAATATTGATGCGAGATAAAAAATAAAAAAAAACTTTGCCGCATCAATTATTTTAACAGCATAACACAATGCAAATCTGTGACTTCAGATACATTTCTTTAAAAAACTATAAAATTTAATCCAGTTTTTATACAATATTTATTATTACTAGCCAAATATAAACAGTCCCTCCCTCATCAATTAAAACAAAAGCGAAATAATCAATTGTTCGGATTAAAAAAAAATATTTAAAAAACGCCCTCCCTCACCGTTTATTATTTTTTTTTAAAGAGTGATAATCTAATAATTTTTTCTATGTGCTCTTAGCAGTCACTGAACACAATGAAAAAGAAAATGATTAACTTAGAAAGAAAATATTAAAGAGGACAGTTGTACTTTATCACTGTGTCCCACTATAGCCAATTTGGTAACCACCATTGGACACAATAAGAAAGAATAGGATTTTCTTGGAAAATATTAAAAGATATTTATAGTTTATCACTCTGTCCCACTAAAGCCAATTCAGGGCACTGAATAATTTGTTAGATTATCACTCCCCCCCCCCCCCCCCCCCCCCCCCCCCCCCCCCCCCCCCCCCCCACCTCC